ATACTTTGTGTCAAGGAGGTTCCATGAAAATTTTCATAAGCTATTTGGGAAGCTGAACAGGGAAGCCACATAACCCTGTGGCAGGGATATGGTGATCTGTTGCTAAACCTCAGAATCTTTTCATCAGAGTGGTTAACAAAATGTGCACCATCCCCCAAACAGGAAATGATTCCTCTGTAGTCCTTTGCAACTGAGAATTAGTTATTCCAAGGGTAATTATCCTTCAACACACATAAATCAAGACTGTCATCCCAAGTTATGGCTAATGGTACTCAGATTTTGTAAGGAAACTTGCAAACAGCAAGTTAAATTTAAGATGCTTCTTGCACTGTTCTACACAAGGTTTTACTACCAACTGACTGTCAGTGGGTGCACTTTGAATCTTCCATTTGTCCTTATGTTCCCTTTGTGAATAAAAGCAGCAGTTTCTGTATCTGTAGCTCATAGGTGATACCTATGTTCAAAGGAGAGAATATTTTTCTGTGTGAAGTTGGCCAGGAGGCAAGAAAACCAATGATATAGGATCCATACTTTCTGGGCTTGTTTTAAAGACCTTAAGTGAAAATGAACTGCATGGAATTTCAATTGCTCTGTGAAAGAAAACAAAAAGGCAAACTTTTCCCCAGAAGAATATGCCTTTTGAAAATATAAGTTTTTTTCCCTTAAAGATAATCCTCTTTGACAGTTTGACAACTTGAGACACTTCGACAGTTTGACAACTTGAGATACTTGATTTCTGGGACAATCTGCAGGAATATTCTTCAGGTTGGCAGCATGGAAATTATTTTTGTTCTAGGGAGTCACCTATTGGGCTGTCCCTGGTGGTGCAATGGGTAAGGACGCAGCACTGCAAGCTGGCTGCTGCTTCAGTGCAAGTTGGATCTCTGGCCCAGGAGGTGATCCATATATGGCCCGGCAGCCTTCTCCTGACCCACCCGCTGCTCCCTTCAGCAGTGTACTTCATAGATCTGCCTGTTCTGCTCCCCACTCTGTCTCTGGTGAAGCCTCTCATCACCCCTACACCTCTGGCTTGTACCCCAGTTCTGTATGCATAAAAAAAAATCTAAAAAAAAAAAAGATTCCTAAATAAACTTGGAGGGTAACATATACAGAGGATATTTTATCTTTTGTCTAATAATTACATGCTACCTTCAGTAGAAGTAGGCAGGTTTCATAGCCTACCTGCCCTATCACTGCCACCAAATTCTTACTATGTACTAAATGAAGTACCAGGGATACAACAGTCTAGAAAAAACAGTTGTAGCTTCAAGGAGGTTATACAATACATCCTATAATTGTGTGTTAATTCAGTAAATATTCACTGAGCACTTACTCTGTGCCAGGCACAAAAGGAATGAAGCAATGAACAAGAAACCTCCCAATTCTGGTTCCTGGGGAGCTTGTGAATGCGTGCATCATGGGTGGATCCATGACAGACAACAGAAGACACCTCACTAGCACCAGGGCCTATGATGCCCTAGATGGGCAACATATGACTCAGTTTTATGGATTTTTTTTGAAGATTTACTTATTTATGCATACAAGAACTGAGGTATGGGGGTGAGAGGATGCACCAGAGACAGAGTGGGAAGCAGAACAAGCAGCTGTACTGAAATACACTGCTGAGGGGAGCAGCTGGAGAGACAGGGTGAGCAGCAGGTGGGTCACCTCCCTGGCAGGGGATCAAACTTGAGCTGCAGTGGCTTTGATAGCTTCATAATACTGTGCTTTAAGCTGCTGTGCCACCAGGGAGGGCCGTTTTGTGGAATTCTTATTAGAAATGGATGGCAAGACTACTTGCTCACAACAGAGGATTTTCATAAAGTAATCAAGGTAAGAGATGAAAGGGGTGAGATTTAAACAGCGGAAATGACTAAGCAGCTTACACAAGATGGTTAGATGAACAAAAGGCAGAACAAGAATTAGGTACTTATTTTCTTTTCCTCTGTCACCCATGGCAGTATCTGGAAACTTCAGATAATTTTATAGAAGCATTAATTAAAAAAAAATGAAAGGGAGGAAGCTGCAGTATAAAGAGATGGGGGAAGATTTCTAGTGAGATGAGCTTGAAGAGGAATGTTGGAATAAACATTAAATGGGCATGAATGTGTGCAGATTTAGAAATTATTGTCAACATTATTTACTGGGTGCAGAAAGTGTTGCTCCTTCATGTGCAAAGTAGACTCATTAGTCATGAATGTGCCATTAAATTTGGTGATACTGGTTACTTTGATTTTTTTTTTAAGATTTATTTATGCTTAGAGAACTGGGGTTCTCTAAGCCAGAGGTGTGGTGGGTGACAGGATTCACCAGAGACAGAGTACACTGCTGAGGGGAGCAGCGGGTGGGTCAGAAGAGGTCTTCCACACCATGTGGGTCAGCTCCCTGGCAGGGGATTGAACTCGTGCTGCAGTGGCTTGGCAGAGCTTCATAATGATGTGCTTTAACCTGTTGCGCCACCAGGGAAAGCCCTCCTTTGACTTCTTAGATCTACCTTTCTAACCTAAACCTCTTAAGCTTTATTGTAGTACAGTGATCCATGGGTGCTGAATAATACCCTTCAGCACAGGAAATGATACAGCCTAAAATCTAGAAATTGGACACAGCTCTTTTGGCTTATCCCAACCCAAAGAAACTGTCATTAATTTAGAAAGCTAAAAATTTTTTATCAATATGAAAATCTACAAGGCTGATGCCTTTGTATTTTCCAAAATTCTAAGAATCATTAAACAAATATTAACTTTTAGCTAGGAATATTATAAGTTAGTGAATGAACCCCAAAACATTACAATAGAATAATACAAAATGGTAGCTATCTCACCCATTTTCTAAAATATAATCTGGACATCTGAATTCTGGAGAGGAAATTGTGGTTAGTAATATTCATTGTTCAAGGACATCTGACTTATTCTCCTGCTCAGTATAATGTGGTAGTGGAGGGCACATCAATGTTCTATTCTTTAGTGACTTAGGACCAAAATAGGGTGAGAATATTCAGCTTTCTGGACTGAAAAGTTTTCAAAACAAAGTAAAAATGCATAATTTTCAGAAGGCGTAATTTGCTTCCCACTCACATGAGTAAGCTAATATGGGCGTGAGAAAACAGATTATTGACATTTTGATTTGTGCCCCAGACAGTAGGTATAGAAGGCCCTCCATACACAAATGTTTCTTTATGGTTGTTCTCCACTTTTCTCAGCAAAGTTTCTGCTAACTTCACCAATAGGCTACAATACATTTTAGATGTTTAGACAGTTCTTAGTGCCATTTTCATTATCATTTCTCAAGGTAGCAATGGCTAAAATAGTTTTATAGCTGTTTCATTATTTTTTCCCCAAAAGCTTTCCTAGAATCAAGATCTACCAACCTGATGTGAGCTTTCCATCTTAGACAGCTCCTAGTTTCCTGAATTGCATTTATGTAACAAGGTTTTCATTATCCTTGGCATAGAATGTGATCTAAGACCAATTCTGTAGCTAACCCACTGTAATAATTCTCAGAAGAATGCTGACGCAAGGTATTTAGATGGAAAAGATTGAGCTGTTTTTTGAGTCTGTTCCTAGTCAAGCTATTAGCACTGAAATGAATTCATAATGGAGGTATAAAATGTACTCACATAATGTACTCACATCTCAAGTAACTAGGAAAAAAGCCTTGCTGCCCCCTAAATTGGGCAATGGATTAGCTTGGCTCTACCCAAAGCTACCAGAATAACGATGAAAGTGTAGTCAACTTGCTTGTGTGCTAACCTGGTATCATTTTTTTAGATTCCCTCTCTGAGTTGTGTAGAAGACAGAGGCTGAACAGAAATTTGTTAACACCACTTGAAGGATTAGCAACCACAGATGTGATGACAGTATTAAAAGAAAAAAGATGTGTTGCTGAAATATTTGTGGGATTTGAAGGCAACTGTTGTCATAAAACTGAAAAAGGCTGCAGTTTCAGGAAAAATGTGAAATTGTTCTGAAGCCCTCGTTCTAGTTCCACCCATGACAGTTTATCTAGAAGATGCAAGAGAAGAATACTTGTTTTGGCATTTGCCTCCCAGAAATATATGTAATTTGGTGAAATAATATATGAGAAATGTACTCAATTATGTAATAAGCCTAAATATTCTGCTTCAAGCCAATCAGTTAATGACAAATTTAAAAAGCTTTTATGTAGTACATTTTTTAGCTAATTTCAGTTAAAATTACCCAACATATAAGACAATTGTAAGATAATATGTACCTGTGGCTTCCCTGGAAGCAAGAGAGAGAGAAACACTAAGGAAAATAGCTAATAGTTAGAAAAATCTGGAGGCTTGCTTTCCAGAGTCACTTATGTTGCAAATTCTACAATATCTGGCATGTAATTTTGACTGAAAATTTACATCACATTTCAACATAGATTTTATCAATTCCCTTATTGGAAAATAAACTAAGAATTAGGCCATTTAAATATAAATCTAGAATGTAAAAACAACCACAGTAAGAAAGGCAAATGGCTTATATAAGAAAAAACTCAGTCTTTCTTGTGTTTGGCCCTTCCCTTTTAGTATAAGTAGTAGAAAGCAAGAAACTGTACCGGTTGGGTCACAGGATAGTCCCTAATGGCTATTTTACACGAGTCTTCCTAATGTAGAGGTTGAGAAGAAACTTCAGTCACATAAGATTGATGGAGTCGGTCCGGGGCAGCTTGGAAACCCAGCATTCCTTAAAGTCTAGATCATTTTAGGGCTTAGATGTTGAAATATTTCAAAGATGTGATGGTGTTTGCCAATACTGAGTTGAGGATTACCAGTGTCCTTTATTTTATATCAGCAAGTGAACTGAATTAGCTACTGGGGTAATCAAGAACTGTAGACCCAGGCAGATAAATTATTTGGTTCACCTGTGCTCTAGTTTCTAAAACTGCATAATCAATCTCCTTGAGATCACTGAGCATCAAAGGACAGAACTGGGTAAAATTATATTCTTTACAGTGAAATTCCAGTAACCATCTGAATCCAATCATCTTACCTGTTGGTTTGATCTGACATCATTGAAATTCACTTTTTTCCCCAACTCTAGAATCACAGCATTCTTGGTTTCACGAATATAGTCATCATTCACAGGCTGGGGAGATTTTGTATTTTTCTTCATTAACCCCTGGGATGGCCTGTAAAATAAATTCACAGCTGACACACCCATGAAAACCCCTGGCCAGGGGCAAGGTCTAGAAATCAGAGTGATTGAAATGACAACTGGCTACCACCATCATTTTGCATGCAGAAGGTGATTACTATACAGAGGTGTGTGTTTGGAGAGCATTTTCAATATTTTTTTCATCAAGTAATAATCCCCTTTGTTCTAAGGTATTAACTATTCCTTATGTGTCTAAGAAATAGGATTATCTAGGAATCTACTTAAGGAGCACCCTGTCCCAGGCCAGGCTAGTCTAGGCATATGTCCCTTATCACCAACATCTTTTACACTTGGAAACCTTCATGACACTTACACAGACGGTGCACTTCTAGGCAGCCCCATGGCATTGGTGGGCGGGATGGCAGGCAGAGAAGGCAGAACAGAGCTGAGGAAAGCCACTGGGTTCTGAATGCGGCTGGTGGGAGAGACAGGAGTTGGGGACACACAGTGAGGCTGAAAGTGGTTTCCGCTGGAGATGGAGAATGTGAGCGGCAGTTGTGTGGGCTCTAACGGACTTGGAGGGGGTGGCTCATTTTGGACAGAAACTCCTGGGGGTTTGGTTGGCACTGAAGGATGAGAAATGAAGAGATTTTCTTTGCTCACTGTCCTCTGAATGGCTTGAGGAGTGCTGCTCAGTGTGACCGCTGGGGGTGAGCTGGAAGGGGACGCTGTTGCCGAAGTGGTAGGAGTGGAATTCATGGAGGGGAAGACATGCTTTGGCCGGGTCAAGCTGAAAGTCTGTGATGGAGAGGACTTCACCTGCTTGCTGGACACAGTCACCACCGAGGGAACCGTGGAGTTCAAGACACTCATGCTGAAAGGAATCTCCTTAGGAAATGAAGGAGATGGGTTTTGCAACTGCTGCTGTTCCAGTAAGACTTGGTTGTGAAGCTGTTGTAACTGACTGGAATCACTGCACACAAACAAGCGTGGGGACAGAGAAAGGAAATCCATCACCATTTGCCTTGCCCTTCAGGAAACACACAGATAGGAGGTTTATGCCTTCATGCTGATTAAGGACACACACTCAGAGTAGGCAGAAATCAGCTAGTCAATCCCTGGTGTGTTATCTGCTAGTTTCTCCTTTCTAAGTCCTTTTTCCTGTCAGTAAGAAGGGAAAATGCACCCAGGATGTATAAACTTAGAAGGCATCATTCACCCTGTGCCCTTTATTTCATGACCCAGGACTTGTGTAACCTAGCCACCCAATTTTATAATGTTTAGGAATCAGAAAAAAAATAGAAACAATGGGCCTCTTCTTGAGAGTGCTCAAGTTCTGAGACCAGAAGACACATTAAAAGAGTCTCCAGAGAGATTTTAAGTCAATCGGGATAGAAGGCATAAATAGTTTTAAAAGCTCCATGTTTTATTCTAGAGTATAAGTGGGATGACGAATCATTTGGACAGCTTGATATTCAAATTGAAAATTTCCAAGTCTGATGATGATCAAGGCTTTGTTGATACATTTTTAAAATGAAACCTTCCCTTCCTGTGGCAGTTTTAAGTTCTGTAGTTATTATATCTACTTTCCTTGTATATAGCAAAAAAAAAAAAGGAAAAAGAACGAGCTGAAAATTGTATCCTCGAGAAGACTGAAAGTGAATGTATTTTAGTGTAAAATCTAAGAGAGTTAAGACCAATGAGGTTAAATCAGTAAGAAAAAATTATGTGTGTAAATTCATGAAGGATGTATGTAGTCACATGTGCTAGCCTGTGAGCATGTATGTGTGTATATTCATAGCCATACTAACACAAATCTACACACATACAACTAAGAGAAAAGTTACAGAAGACAAAACATATTAAACAATTATATAGTGCTAGGGACTGGATTTTTTAGAAAGTGTCACTACATAACTTAGTAGGGAGAATTTTTATGTTAATTCAATGTCCCACAAGGCAGGTACAGCTTGGCTAACTACTTACTTCTCTCCTGTATCAAAGAAATCTGTTTTACTAATGTGCAGCTACAGACTATACTTCCTGGCCTCCTTTGAAGCTAGTGCACCATATGACTGCATTCTGCTATTAAGAAATAAGCAGATGATTTAAGGTATTAAAGACTTTGAGAGGGTTCTTTAAAGGGAGACTCAGATTAGAAACCACTGGTCTAGAGTTAGAAACCTTTTATCTCATCCACCATGTTCCATAAACACAACTCTCCTCACCCAGAAGAAAACAATAATTAACACTTCAAGTGAGTGCAATAGACAAAAATCAGTACACACAAGGAAAGCCTGCACTTAGGCATTGCTTCTTTAGACAGTGATGCTCGATCCTGGATGTATCCCAGAGTCTTCCAGATCCTTGTTACTCACTATATGGGCATCCCAGGGGCTTGATAGACATGCAGACTCAAGTCTCATTCCAGACTTACTGAGTCAGCAGTTAGGGAACAAAGCAGAAATGTGTGTTTTAACAAGCCCTCCAGAGGTTTCTGGAGCTCGATAAAGTTTAAAAATCACTGACCTATATTTAAAAAGATAATAACTCTGCCTGGATATTTTCCCAGGTCAATTGACTCTCTGGGCAATGATGCTTGCATCCATGAGGTTTGCCTTCAATACTCTCAAGGTGATTCTAATGGACAGCCATCTTGGTAAAACCACAGTTCTCCGCTGACTGTATAAGTATGTTTAACTAATGAGAATTAGTTATCCTCATCAGTGACATGCTGGCTAATGTTTTAAGGATGTAGAAGGAGACGGACCATGATGGGCAAGGTATGAACTGATGAGACTTCAAAAGAGACAGAGAAAATGGAGCAGATATGCTAAGAAACAAGGGGGCTCTTAAGACAGGCAGCATGAGACAGGCTGTGGACCAGCCACGTGATCCTAACCCCTTAGCTCTCTTCTCCATGCAGGACCTGGCTGCCTTTAGATTCCCATTCCTGTCTGTATCGCTAAAATAACCTCCTCCCCTCTCTTTGTTTTAAGTCAATTCCTGTCTCCTATGACCAGTAGAACTTTGAAAGAACAACACATTCCTGGATGTGACCTGTGATAGGTATGTTTTACGTTGTTTAGTTTTATACTGAGCATTTTACCAGATGTGACAGTGACAAGAATATAAAACTAACTAACAAAAACTGCTTTTCACAAAGATCTTTTTTCAGTGCTGAGAAACATATGAGGGGAGTGCTGTTAAGGTGGATTTTATGTAGCAATTTCAAGTTTTATGTCATTGTAAATATAATTTTGATCATTTTGATGACTGGACCAAACAGATCATAACAGTAGTTCACGCTCTGTGTTTGCTGTGGGTGACTATTAAGCATCGTAACATGACTCTGACTCTGGAGAGTGACCGTGAAAATCACCTCAGACTCCTGGGGTGAGTTTGAAAATCATGACTTCTCTTTCTTTTATCACATTCTACTTCTATGAAGTCTACTGTGTTTACCACAGTATATCTAGCCATGGCAAAATACTAGATATCTTTTCATAATAATCTTAATTTGAACCAGTGATGGGAAATTTAAGGATGAGATTATGGACTATAATGATTATTAAACACAAGAAAGCATTTTATGAGTAGACAAGTACTCTGTCTGGAGCCCTCCAATATTAGGCTAACATCTTTCTAAACTAGTTAGGTGTAACTTTTGCAGAGGTAGACTTTTACCAGTAAGAATGATAGTAATAGAAATCTTACATTAATGTGAAAAATGTATAATTTTCCAATCATTTAACATGTATTTTCTTATTTCATAATCCCCCTTTCCCACTCTATCATTTTTAAGAAAGGCAAACTCAGAGAAGCTCACAGGTACTCTTGATTATCTATTCTAATGTTCACTTACAGTTTGGGTTTGGCCAGAACTGGAGGGGGTTCTTTAATGGGTGAAGAAGGTTCAGGGATTTTTGCTGCCTGGCCATTGAATCGCTCCTGGAAAGAATCAGGTCGGGTCTGGTTGGCGGTCACTGCTCCACCCTCGAAGGATGCTTCACTTCCTTTGTCATCTTCAGGCAGGTTGAAATGCACACGGAGCCCAATCCTTGAGCTGGACCGGGGCTCATTGTGGTTTACTAGCACACCTTCAAGTTTGGGTTTAGGGGGATGTTCCACAGAAGGAGGCAGTAAGTTGGGTGGGGGTGGTTGTTGCTCAATAATAGCCAGGTTGGTGGTGGAATTGGCTGAGTGAAGAGACCCATTATTGCTGAGGTCCTCACTTCCTGAAAGGCAATAACAGGACCTGAAATGTTAGCTAGCCCCAATGAGACTGAGATGGGACTGAAGTCCTGAGTTGGAGGGTATGCAATTTGGAAAACATTAAGACCTGGTGATGTGATAATGTTTATCAAAAAGGGAAATTGCAGGCCCTCCCTGGTGGCGCCATGAAGCTAGCTCCAGCCGCTTTAGCATGAGTTTGATCCAAGGAGGTGACCCCATGGCTCACCAGACCTCTCCTGTCTGGCCCACTCAGACTGCTCCCCTCATCAGTATACTTTATCAATCTGCCTGTTCTGCTCCCCACTCTGTCTCTGGTATTGCTCCTATACCTCCAGCCTATACCCCAGTTCTGTATGCATAAATAACTTTTAAAAAATGGGAAAATGCTTATCAAAAACAGAGAACATAGTCTGGTATATTAAAGAATGGTGAGGATACAGAGAAGAAATTAAACTAAATCTCTAAGTACTATTTTGAAAAGAATATTTGAAGTTAATAAATTATAACAAGGATATATATATATATATATATTTAACAGTTTAAGGTTTATTATTTCCTAGGTATCTTAAGAAAAAAACAATGAAAATGAGCTTTGGCTTCCAGTAAGAAGCTGTTCCAAGGAGATATTTTTTTTAGAGAATAGAAGTAACACCGGGCAGTCAGAATGGAGGTGGGAGTGGTGATCATAACTACAACAAGAAATTGAAAAGTGAATATTATAACATTGTTCAAGAACACTTTCTTCAATAGCTAATTTTTTTAAAGAGAAAAGTCAAGCTAACTTTATTTAAAAAGTAGTAAGGGAGGGAAATACAAACTCTTCCTACTCATACTCACAATGCGATATCACCTCATTCCTGTGAGAATGGCCCATATTAAATATAAAAAGCCAGAAACAACAAATGCTGGTGAGGGTGTTGAGTTGGTGGCAATGTAGACTGGTCCAGTCTATGGAAAACAGCAGGTAGGCTCCACAAAATATTGAAAGTAGGTATACCATAAAGGGCCAGGGGGAAAAATAATAATAGCAACAACTATATACCGTAGACATTTTACGGGGGTGGAGTGGGAAATGGGATAAAAAATGGGGTTGGGGGGGAAAGTGCACTGGACTATGGTGACGGCACATGGGGGATTTGGTTATGGGAAGCCCACGGGGATTACAACTGAGATGGAAAAAGGCACAAAATGATGTAAAAATAAACCATTATTTCGAAAAACAATGGTTCTAAATTAAAAAGAAAAAGGGTGTACCACATGACCACCACTCCAACTACAGGATCTGTACTGGAGGAATGCAAGACACATATTTGAAGGACATAAAGACATCTATGTTCATTGCAGCACTATTTACAATAATCTAACTATGGAAACAACTTAATCTCCCAGTGGCAGAGGAGTGGATTAAGTAGATGTGGTATAGATACATATATGGTGGAATATACTCAGTTGTAAAAACAGATGGACCCTTGCCATTTTCAATAACATGGATGGACCTGGAGGGGATTATGCAAGTGAAGTAAATCAGAAAGACAAATACTGGATTTCACTCATGTGGAATATACAAAATGAAAGAAAGGAATAGACAAAACTAAAACAAACCCCGGAAATATGACTGCAGAATTAAGACTGTTAGAGGGGGCAGGAGGGGAGGAGTGGGAGTCAAATTGGAAGGGGCCTAATGGCTTAAGGTAGAGACATGGGTGCTTTGGGGTGGGGATGGTTTGCTGACCTATCTCTGAGGATCTGTGGCCCTGTCTTCCTAAATCACATACAGTGTTGCAAATCAATGCTACCTCAGTAAAAAATAGAAATTAAATAAATTAAGAGAAACAAAACAACCCCAACCCATAGTCTCAACTGTTCAACACTTACAGGGCTCTTACCTCTTACATCAAGCTGTGCAATACTCGACACTGTGCCGTATTTGTTGCTTGCAGTACATGTGAAGCACCCAGAATCTTCTGCAAATACCTCAGCAATGACCAAAGTACAAATCTCCTCTAAAAGCCAGTAAAACAGTATCATTGCTGATTTAATTATTGAAATGACATTTTAGGACTTACTGATACCAGATCATAATTCTATACAAGTTACAGATGAGGCTGATTGTATTAATTTTTAAAACAATTAGTCCAATTATGGTATATTGAGTTGAATGATTAACAGGCTAAAAGAGTAAAAGGACATAGAACCAATAACTATACAGACTACTATCAAGGGAATTAGTGGTAATAAATCATATTGTATACTCTGAAGTCTCAGAGTATCTTCAATCCAGTTGACAAAACAGAGAACTGAGAACATTAAAGTATAAAATCACAAAAGCAATTAGGAGTCAAAGCAAAAGGAGGCTTGTGTGAAATAAAAGAACTATAAAATCTTTTTCTAAATTTAAGCCTCTCACCATTTTCAGAGGAGACTTACACAGTGAGTTGATTTTAAATGAACTTAACAGTGGACAATAATTATTTTGCTTAATGAACAGTAAGTAGCTTTAGAGCTACTTACTCTAAATATTGATTTTAAAAAGTCTGAAATGTATTTTTTTTCCTGTATAAAAATACTACAGTAGTTCTATGGATGACTTCTATACACAGTTTGATCCTCCTTTGAATAAATACAGAAGTGATTGCAAGAGAAAACATTTGATTATAGCCTAAAAAATTTTTCTTTTAAAGTTAAAGGTGCTTGATACATACTGTTTGTCCTTACGATTTTCTTTTGCAACAGACCATGCTGAGAATTAAGGATCCTAAGAAGTCACTGGAATTTTATACTAACGTTCTTGGAATGATGTAAGTAAACTACTGACATCTGTAATGCTTAAATATATATAGCTTGGCAAATAAAGGGAAAAATTTCAGGGATTATAGCCTAAAATTATTATAGTTATTGCCGATGAGGAGAGGCATTCAGACAATAGCTTCAACCTTCAGTTATGACTTGGTGCACTATACTTAAATGAATTGACACACTTCACTGAAATGAATTAATAATACATAGTTGTATGAGGAGAAAGGTGGTATCTCAGCGTTTCATGTTAGTTTGACTGAATTGGGTGGACATCTTTTAGGAAGGCTGGCCAGTAGGCCATGGCAGACAGTGTCGGAAGCACACTTAGTAGCTCTTCATCATCCTCTTTCCTGTGGATGAATCTGGCTTTGCCCGTGCTCGGAGTGATCATGTGCTCTGAGGCAAACTGGCCTCTCCCAGCTCAGGTGGTGAGCAGTGGCTGGTCAAGATGGCATACTTAATTCTATTCCTGCTAAGTGGTGACATCTGACTGACAGTTCTGTTCAATGAGATGGTAGGGAAAGTCTGCGGGGGAGATTTTGGGAGAAATAGGGTGTAACCTTCTATTTTTGCCTCTGAAAGTTGTCATTGGATGCCATATACAGAGCTGTGGCAACCCTCTTGGGTATCTGAGTAGAACCACCCTAAGAGGATACTCTGAAGATGGCAAAATGGAAATTGAAAAAAAAAGGCTAGTTACTGAAGATCTCTGAGATGCTAAATTAAACAGTCTCAAGACTGCTTTTTCTTTAGGCACCTCGTTACATGTGAGAATATTATAGTCTTCTTATGGCACAAGCCATTTTCAGAGGTTTTCTTTACTTGCTACCCAAAGACTCCCAAGGGATGGAGAGGCATGGTTTAGTGCCTCCGCCCTTCTTCTGAGCAGTAGGCCTTTGGTTCTCTATTCCCTTTACCAAATATTTCATCAATCTTCTCTCAGAAAATGATCTGATAAGTTCACTTACATTATACTATATCTGCCTTATAAAATAAAGGATTCTGTCTTCAAAGAGTATTTGCATTATACCAAATGGAAGGGAAAACTGGCTGTGAAATTTTAAATCATGAACAGGGAATGGTGGGAACTTGTTTTGGGCAATGGTGGAAACTCTTTTGGGTGACTGAAATTGCTTTGTATACGAGACTATCAAAAAGCTGCATCTGGATGAAAGGGTCAGAAGTCTGAAGTACTTTCAAGGGGAAAAAATTACTACTCCACTACAAACATGGCAAGAGTGGGACCACTTTTGGTCTTTATTGTGCACCCCAAGGGCCCAGTGGAACCTATATGTCTATGTCTGGAATGCTTTTCTGTTTAGTTTTCAAGTAGATGGGATTCCAGATTTACATATGCAAATTCTTCATTCCTACAATAATAGTTAGAATTGATTTGAATCTTTTTCTAAACTTTATTTTCACTTTTTTTGAACACCCGTGTCACTGATCACACACTAAAATTGAAGTTGAAATGGTGCTTACCTGGTTCTGCCATGGATCGAGGTTCTAAAAGAAGAAGAAGAAAAAAAAATCCTGAGTATTTACTTTACTGAGAGACTATACTTTCACCAGAAGCCTCCCAGAGCATTCCACAGTCTCTGGAATACTAGGGTAAAAAAATGACTCCAGCACCAATGATCTTCACAGAGAAGGACATTGTCACAGAAGGGTAGCAAAAGAGCAGCTCAGTAAATGATGCCACTGTATCATGGCACACTCCTATGGTCCCCTTGGGTGATAGTGACTTTATTTTTTAAAGATTTATTTTTATTCATTTATACATATAAGAACTAGGGGGTAGGCCATAGGGGTGGGGGAGGGGTAAAAAGTTTCACCAGAGACAGAGTGGGGAGCAGAACAGGCAGATTTACTAAAATACACTGTTGACGGGAGCAGTGGGCAGGACAGGAGAGGTCTGCTGTGCCATGTGGGTCACTTCCCTGGCTGGGAATCAAACTTGTGCTACAGTGGTCAGTGACTGGTGATAGCTTGATAGTGCTGAGTCTTTAACCCTTGTGCCACAATATTAACTTTAGGTGAGGAATAATTGCTGTGTGAAATAGGTTTCCAAAGTGATTTGCTTTATTGCTATCCATGTAACCTTGCCTGAAAAAATGTTTGTGAAGAATGAAAGATCTTTCTTAGCTTTGAAATCTCAAAGCCTAATAACACAGGGAATATACCTCCAGCTCCAAGAGTTCTGTTATTAAAAGTATCAAGACAGAAGAGAGGTTCCTTGAGAACAGGTCCTTTGTCTTGAAATTCTCTGGTATTTCTAATCTTGCCACTTGGTACTGAATACAGGCTTTCAATTAATGTTTATCAGATTCAGGACAACATTGTTGAACTTAGTTACAATCTTTTGCATTCATGAAGCTATTTTCTTTTTTCTTAGTTTAACTCGTATTCAAAACACATTATTATTGCTGCTGTAGCTGTTAAATCTGATAACAGTATGAGCCCTATCTCATAATGATCCAAGTGCTACTATTTTATGATAGGCAGAAACAAATTATCAATAAATAAATAAATTTCAATGTATTTTGTAAATGAATGAATCAGTGAATCAAAGTACAAGCACTGCATGACAAGATGAAAGCACTAGATATGAAAAAATGATTTAATCATTTATACATAAATAATTCTTATAATAGGAAGAATATAAACCTAATATAAAAATGAGCAAGATCTGAACAGGTAACTTAAAAACAGAGAACTACAAAGGCCCCATAGATAAGTGAAAGACTTTTATCCACCTTTAATTAGTGAAGTGTAGATTAAAGTAGTCTCCTTTTGGGCCCATAAAATTAAGGGAAGATTTAATAAATGCTTAATACCCATAGTTGGTGACAGTGTGAGAAAAAAGGCATCTCCATATCTTGTGGGTTGTATTGGTAGAATATAGCTGGGGTGACATGTGTCCTAGTTTAACTGAGACAGACCTGGTTTATTCCTGGGATCCTTGTACAATTATTAATAGCACCCACCTTCATTTCCCAAAGTATCCCAGTTTGGATGGTCAATTATGTGATGATCCTAAATTTAGTTCAAACTCTTGGATGAACTAAATTGGATGGGATTTTGGCAATTAAATGTCAAAAAAATGAATTTATAGTAGCAATTTTAGTATTCAAATTTATGCTATACATATTCAATTAGACTTGTTCTGTTAACAAGCACTGAAGTATAGTTTATAATCATAAAAATTTATGAAGACTGAATAAGAGATAAATATGAAATTGGTTATATTGCTTTATCTTTAAAAGTTATATCTATACTTATTAACATGACAAGTTGAGTAGAAAAGTCAGTTTTCAAGAGTATGATTTATTTTTATTTTTAAGAAAACAATGCATAGACAAATTCTTAGAGAAATATTATCAGGGTTTAGTTCAGTAAGTATGATTACAAGTGATTTTTGTTTTTTATTTTTGACTATATATTTAATTGTTAAAAAGTCATAAAAGCAAATGTATATAACACATTTATAAAAATAAATTATTAGGAAAAAAGTAAAAGCATCAACTTACTTTTCTGTAAAATCCTAAAGTCTGGAGAATCTTCTATCAAAGTCCCTTCTCTATACCATTCAACTTTAGGAGATGGGGCCCCTTTCACTCTGCATTCAAAGACAACCAGCTGACCCTCAGAGGCTGATAAATTTTGTAACATCTATAATCAGAAGAATATAGTTAGAACCAAAAAGTACATGTTTTTGGAATCTGGTTCCAATGCTGAATATTTTAAAAAGTATACCATTGCCTCCTTACTTGGATTTCCTCCAAGTCGACTACATCTTCAGTTGCTTCAGTTCTGTGGCTGTACTTTGAGTCTATTTGTGGATTGAAACAGCTGAACCTTTGTGAAGGTTCTTACTAACTTCTTCCTTTTCCTCTTTGTGCATTACTAGATAAGTTAATTAAATTCTGGGTGAAACATCTTGGGAATTTGCAAAAATACAAAAGTTAGGTAATGTATCTAAGCTTTTCAATGCCCAGAGTAACAATAAAATCTACAACAGGTCTCTATGAGGTGTCTTCAGCAGTGGAGTAAAGTATTTTTCCATGCATGAGTATCGCTGCCTTGTGGTGGATCAGCAATGTGGCCCAAGTAACTGACTGTCTTTCTGGCTCTGCCTTTTAATGTTTTGTAGTCTTTTGTTTTGCTACTTCATTTTGTTTGTGTTCTTTATAATACTACCTCAATGATCTATTGAAGAATAAAAACAACTAAAATTTCTAGAAAGTCATAGTTACATGTGGAATCTTATGTCCTTATAAAATACATTGTGATTATGTGAAGGAACCATTCCATGTCCTTCCATACTTCTGTTAGAAAGGTTTACAAAAAACCACTTCGAACAGTAAGATATCAGCTAATTCTATCATAGATGGTGGGAGAATGAAACTCATATTTTCCTTTGCAGGGAGTCTTCTACTCATTATTTGTGGATTTAAAGTCACACATTCATTTCTGTTGCTGGTAATTCACCTTGTGAAATATCTCTTCGGCATATGTGTGGCATGTTCTTGTTTTTAATATAGACTCAAAGATTACAAACGTGGAAATATTATGAGTAAATTTTCTTCACAAGCTCTATCAGTAACAAATGCTGAAAGCCTTTTTATTATTACAGTTTGGGACCTAACATTTAAGGAATAACTGGTTATTTCAAAGAAGGGGAAAACTTTTTTCTTTTGTCATTTGTTCTTATAAATATTTGGGATTGTTTACATCTCTTATCTGAAAAAAAATATATATATTATATTTTATATACGAGCTTATAGTATCATGGTATTTGTCTAACCAACACAGCAGTGGGGGTAAATCACATGGTTTTAGTTACAAGAAACCTGAAAGGGTAAAAGTGTAAATTGAAATTGTGACAGCCAGGGGGCACTATAGTTAAATATTAGTGTTTTGTTTTTTGCATTCCCAAATTTGTTTGCCAAAGTAGTTCATGGATGGGATTAGCATAAAAGCAGTTTCTAAACTAATGAGTTGTTTGACTGGAATCTGATTACTCCTTGTTTTCCCCCAAAACATCTACTGATAAGCATGGAATGATCTCAGCAATTATTATTGGGTGCTCTTGCAGCTGATAAAGGTCTTCCATTTTGACATCTGAGCAAATTCTATGCTGGAATGTTGTTTTGGGACCTATTGAAAGCTTTAATGGGATTAATAGATCTTCCTAGGATTAATCCACAATGAAATTTCATTCACTCTCGAAGCAAATAAATTAGAAATGAAACAACCAATCAAGCTATATGTGTGTGTGTACACACTATATTTTATACATATATATATACATAAATATATATATGTACATGTATATATGTGTATATGTATATATATATAATCTCATATCTGATATATAACATATATATTATCAGAAGGGATTGAATAAATGAAATATATGGCACATTTATAAAACAAATATAAGCTTAATGAAGTCAGTATTGATGTGCTAACATGACTCAATCTATAGTGTATACCAGTGAAAAACTTAAAAAAAGGACCTCCTTAAGAGCACATTACTTGCAATTTTTTAAAACAATATTAGTTGTGTTTTATTATTAACCACCTGATATTGAAGGTCAAAACATATACTCTATTTTAAGAATATAGCCAAATTGGCAGAGCTACTATAGTGTATGGAATATGCCAGCTAAAGTTTATTCCAGAGCGACACATCATCAGTAGCAATGGAGGTGGCATGGGTCATCTTATAAGCTATGTAGAAAAAGTTGTTAAAAGTAGTGGCTTACAAGCTCTATAGTTTGAAGGAGGATGATAGTTGTTATTGTTGGAAATGGTACTTTACGGTGCAAACTTCATAAGAGGAACTGGCTCCCATTTCTTCACAGCAGAGTCTAAAGAGTTACACATTTTGAACACCAAGATGACGTGTTTAATACAGCAGTAGATCATGGGCTGTGACTAATGGCACGATGTATACAGCCTTGCATGTAACTAATTTCACTAAAGATGAATAAGCAAGGTTAAGTTAGTCTTAACTAGGAATTATGGGTCTGGACTAAAATCACTATATTCAAAGGTCTGTAATCTCCTGAAATAAACAGTATCCAAAGTGCGAATCTTTCCTGTGTTTCATCACCTTATTGATTATTTAGGCGACATTCTTTCTAGGGTGACTCGGCAACACAGAGCCTGGGAAATGTGTCTTCACATTTAAGGCCATGCTATTAAACTTTTCTGTTCTACTGAAACCACAAAACAGTGAAAGTGATACTTTCTTAACTGAAATGCAAATTATTCACCACAGAATAAATATTACTGTTTAGTGCCAAGCACTATGCCAAAGGCTATAACATAAGTTGAAAGGGCACAGTTCCAGCTTACCACTAAGCTTTACTGACATCCTTGAGAAAAGGCATTTATCTCCCTTATTGGTTAAAGATATCAGCTACAAGGTCCATATTGTTATTGCATTTCTTTGTTAATCCAGTTGATGTTTTTTGTAATTGGTAGATGCTGCAAGGGCGTGTGCTTTAGGCTGGAAATGAAACTGGTAGTTTTACTGATAAAGAACTGCTGGAAGACCCCTTTGCCTCTTGATTGGCACCGCTGTCCTGTGTGGTAGCTGAGTCAGAAAAGACTAGAAATATTGGGTTGGGGAGAAGGTCCCACGCAATCTTCAGAAATCTGGATCTGGCTTAAGGCCCACTTATTTCAGGGTTTCCTGCCTCTGTTATTATATAATAAAATGCTCTTCTTCAAATTCTCACTTCCCCTGCCCCCTTGCACTCTTCAAATTACTGCTGAAGCAGCTGGAGCCAAAGTTGCTGCAGCCTTGACTGTCTGCCAGAGCAGCTGCTGTTGGAGTGGGAGCAGCGAGCAGAGGAAGATTCTAATTTGATCAGCTACCTCCTTTCCCACTCAAGAAGTGTGAGTACTGCCCCTTGTCTCTCCCAAACAGAGTAAAAGGGTTTTTGATTCTCTGTAGAGGATGGAAGATAGTCTATGTCTAGAGTGTTTAAAACTAGAGGTAACACTTGAGTCACTCAGAACTAGCATATAAAACCCAGTGTTTTCTCAAACCCGACCATCCTCCCTTTTATTTTAAACTTCTTCAAAAAAGAAGATAATACCAGTGCTTTCCTATCACCAAAGGAGACACAGGAGTTTAAAAAATTGCTGTCTTTAAAAAGACATGGCTTCTTGCCATTACTGGCAAAGAAGTGATTTGTTGGGCAGTATAGAAAGTGAGTCATATGGGTTGGAATGCCAGCAGTCCCTAAAGAAGTAAATAGAGTAGGAATAACCTGAACAAACATATGCAAATGATCAGTTATCAGGATTCATACCACGTGACTACCATCAACCATGGCTCTGACTCAGAAATTTGCTAATGACACCAGTAGCAACTATGACCTCAGTCCTGCTCTCACTGACGGAAACTAACGCAAGCACATGTTGCTGATAAGTCTCTCTGGAATCTGAGCCACAGTCTATTCTACTGCCCTACGTCTGAGCAACCCTGATCCATTTATGGAGGCAAAAACTCACATCCTAAGAACCATGAGAGCCTCAGAATTTGGGTCTCTATATTAAAAACTATTTTTTTTTGCACCCTGATCCATTTATGGAGGCAAAAGCTCACATCCTAAGACCCATGAGAGCCTCAGAGTTTGGGTCTCTATATTAAAAACTATTTTTTTTTGCACCATAGGCCCAAACCTTTTGTAGATATTATCTAATAAACAACATTCATTCACTGGTTTCTTTTTATCAAAGGCACAAATGTATCTGCCCATTAAAGCATCTAATTAGAAGGAGTTAATCAGAGTCAACATACAACGCAGCTAAACCTGTTGTTCTAATCAGCCCATGGGAATTCAAAGAATTGTTAAATCCTTTTGGATTATTTTTAAATAATAAAAAACATTTTGGACCTATTATTACTCTTGATGAACTCCTAGATATTAGAGATAACTTAGCAAGTGCTGGGGAGAGACAGGAAAAAATAGTTTTATTATTGTGTTAAGTGTGGTAATAAAGGCATGTATTAGGTGAAATGAATGCAGGGAAGAAGGAAGACAGATTTGAAATCGGAGGTAAGGACTCCTTTCTGGTGTCCGCATGGGCAAATGGTGGGGAAGAGAAGACTTCAGTTGGGGCTACTTATGAATTTTTCTATGGTTTAGTTGCCTTTGAATAGTTAGCACTATTTTTAGAGTTGGACAATTGGGCATGACAAATTAAAATGTTCTGATTACTAAGGCACGTAAGCCCTGTTTTAAAGCTGGGTGATTTAGCAGTGAAATCAGAAACAAAGGTAGCTCTATTAGCTAGATTACACACACACCCTCTTGTAATCCCTCATTGAAATCTTATATGCACCAAGCCACAACATGTTGCTTTCCTACTTCATGTTTTCAAAAATACCAAAGCTGAAATTACAACAGCAAGTTACATGTAATGAACCTCAAAAATCAAGGTGCATCTTGTTTTATATGAGTACGTTTGCCTAAATGACATGGACATGGATAAACATGTCTCACTCTGGACTGTTTGATTGGAGATAACTATCTTGGGTGAGCATGATTGGGTGGCATCCCTGAACATGAATGTTTCTGGGAATTTATTTCTTCCTTTAGGACTAGTAATTCATTGCCATTTTGATTGAAACCAGGATTTCTCAGTTTCAGGGTTCTTGACCTCTTGAGCTAGATAGGTAATTATTGTGGGAGACTGTCAACCTATGTACCATAGGGAGGTTAACAGCATCCCCAGATGCCAGGGACACAGCCTTCCAGTATGACAACCAAAACATCTTTAGATAGGGCTAATGTCTGTTGAGGGACAAAGTTAACCCTGATTGAGAACCATTGCTCTAAATTAAAGCACACATCTGAGAGGACAAAATCTCTTTGGGCCTAGGCTTTGCATTCATACAAACAACAAATTATAAATCTAGGAAGAGATTTCCTCAGCTTGGTCTTCATAAGACCAAAAGGATCCAGTATTTCTACTTGGAATCTATTATTTTGGGTCACATATTCATTAAATCTCAGTTACATAAAGGTAAGAAGAGTAGATTGAGAAAAGGAAGAATTTACTTCTAGTCCTGACTCTGTCACTAACTAGTCCTGTATTGTTGGGTAAATTAATCTCTCTCTCTTTTTTTTTTTTTCATTTGTAAATGAAATTGTCTGAGCTGAGTAATTTCCTAGTTCTACATACAAAGACTAAGAGACTGAGAATTTGATACCACCCAATAGTTACCATGGTCAGACAATAAAAGCTCTTTGTCCTAGACAAAGGCTTTATGTTAAGCCTTTTAAGAACAATTAACTCCAAAGCACTGTAGACATCTACCTGCAACTAGACTTTACTGTAAGTTGAGAGAAACGTTGGAGTAATGCATGTCTAGAAATTTATCACTCCATCCCTCAGAGCTGCTACTGTGTTTTAGCAGTGGATGACCATTGAGGTAGGTGACGAGTGGGGAAGACATTTCTCTCAATACACAGCTGTTACTAAGAAAGAAAATTAGGGACTTGAAGTAAACAGTTACAACACTCTAAGCCCCCCCAACTCTGTGTTGTACTTAAAAGAGACCCAAATTTTCACATAAAACCAGTAAATCTTGGATCTTACTACTTTGTTTGCATTTTGTGATATGGTTAAAGCCATGACAGAAGGAAGTTATAGTTTCATTACCTTTGTAAACACAGGAGCTGCAATGATGGGCTTTCCATCCAAACCTTGCAAATAGTTGGTGGGGCTCTGACACTGTTAGAAGGGAACCAACAAGACGTTCATTGTCACTACAATTATTAATTTACACACAAGACATATCAGACTTACAGAATTTGGAATATAATATAAAAATCAAAAGACTGATGTTTTCACAGCATATAAATCACAAAATTCAAGTTTTAGACTGAATTTATTGTCATAGTGTTTATAAATATGTGCTAAAGTTATTGATTAAGTGACATGGATGCAGGGACAACAGATTTGAATTATAGAGCTATGAAATTGTATGCATTTATGTAATTAACCCTAAGTCCCCAAAGAGGTTCTATAGACCCTCTGGAGCTCTTAGATCAGTTTGAAAATGACTGGATTAAAACAAAAATATGATCCCTCACATTAGTAAACGGGTTAGGTAGGTAATCTTGTTTAAATTATTTTAAAAAGGCTTTTGATGAGTGTATTTAAATATATTTATCACCAATAAACAATTATAACAATAGCATATTATAAACATGTTCGGATTACTATGATTTCGCATTTTTTAAGATATGCACATATACATATATATCCAGCTATATGCACAGAAAATGCCTGGAACTATCTGCTACCAGCTATTAATAGGAAGTATCTCTGAAGAATATGGGCATACAAGTAGAATTTCCTGGCTGCCCTGTGGCACAAGGGGTTAAAGCACAGCACTGCAAGCTCCACAGGTGCTTCAGTGCAACATGGATTCCAGGCCCCAGAGGTGATTCCAGGCCCCACATGGCACAGCAGACCTCTCCTGTCTCTTCTACTGCTTCCCTCGGAGTGTATTTCAGTATCTCTGCCTGCTCTGCTCCCCACTCTGTCTATGGTGAATCCCCTGCACCTCTGGCCTGTACCTCAGTTCTGTATGCATAAACAAATAAATCTTAAGAAAAAAAAAGTAGAACCTCCCCTAAATTTTTACTTAATGCACTTCTGCACTTTTTTATTGTTTTTACAACAAGCCTGCGTTATTATAGGATAATATACATCAGATATACAAAGTGATTTTCATGACCAAGGAAACATGTTACCCAAGGTCATCATGAGGTTGTAACAGATGATGCCATAGTGTTGGTCATGATGACCGTGCCTGCCTGTCCACAGTCTGAGGTACTTGTGTTTCACTTAGACTCTTGTACCTGCTGAATGGCTGACACACTGTGCTGGACCATCACAGGCTGGGTTGGGGGAACTGCTGAAGGAATGGCTGCAGAGGTAGCGGAAGGAGATGATACCTCTTTTGTCTTCTGGTTTCTGGAAAATGATTAATACAGATAAAGTGATAAAGCAGAACCATCATTGTGAAAATTCTTTCTACAAATATTGGCAATGCCATTATTGCTTACAGTTTGATATAATAACATTTTTCATTAACAATATTCTACCTGGTGGTGCAGGGGGTTAAAGTGCAGCTCTATGAAGCTATCCACAGCCACTGCAGCACAAGTTCAATCCCCACATGGTGGTGGCTGGGGTGTCAAACACATTCACAATTAACTGAGATTTAAGAAAAGTGCTCTGACAAAACATGTGCAGGAGAGAATTTTTTGAAATTTGTCTCATTGTTGCCCTTTATGTTTTCCTTACAAAGACCAGCCTTTGTAAATCTTTGCTTAGGGGATTTTGGCAGGGCAAAAAGCTGAAAAAACTTGAGTCAATGCGTTCTTTGATTTTACACATACTATATCAGAGATGATTTGAAGGGCAAGAGGGTCAGGGAGTAATCTCGAGAAGGCCGTGTGTGGAAGGGAGATTATTTTAGTTTTGTTGTGGAGAGGAGACACCTCTGTGGATCTTGCCAGAGAACTTGACAAGAAGGAGAACATAAGTCCAGAGGGCAGGGCAACCCCTCTGGTTCAAGGGCTCCCATTCTTGCTTAACTTATCAGTACCCAAGCATGTCAGGACACAAGAAAGCTCTGCACTTGAAAGGAACTTGAGATCTGGGACATGGCCTCTCACCAGTAACCTAAGGTGATAATGACAAGGACAGAATGGACTTACTTTCCTGTTAGGTGTTAACACTCTCTCCCTCTAAAATGTGGAAATAAACATTCTTACCTTATAGGGTTGGCAAGAGGGTTAAATGAGGTCATTCACGTAAGATGCTTAGAGCACTGCTGGTTATTTATATGTCCCAGGGATTTTTGGATGGGGAAGGGATTACCCAATAATGACAGATTGACTTTCGTCCAGCCAGGCAAGATGGCCTCTCAGCAGAAGAACTACCCAGTGATGCAGAGACTAATGGTGTCTCTAAAGCTTCCATTTTCAATAGAAGCCCTAATTTCTTTTGATGCAGAGACTAGTGGTGTCTCCAAAGCTTCCATTTTCAATAGAAGCCCTAATTTCTTTACATGGCCACTCCAAATTAAGGCTATGTTTCCCAACATGCATTGAAGGCAGGTGTGGCCCTGTGACTATTTTCTGGTAATGGGATATGAGTGATAGTGGTGTACCTCATTTAAGAAAGATGACCTTAACAGTGGGGCAGTGCATGCCCTTCATTCCTTCCAAGAAGTGTCCACACTTGGAATGAGATGCAGCTAAAAATTGGAAGCAGACTGGAACCTAGTGGCATGTGAAACCATCTTACCAACCAAATTCGTTATTTTATGTAAATAAATTAGTTGTCTTATTTAATTAATGGATATTTTGGATCTCTATTATGTCCAATTGAAGTTAAATCCTAACTATTATGAGTAGACCCAAGGAAAATAAACAACTGTGATTTTTTTTTTTGGCTTAAAGTTGTATATGAAAATTCATAACCATTATGTTGTGCTATGAGAATCTTGAAGATGGAGGGATGAGGATGCAATGGGTTTATTAGGGAACTCAACTGGGTTTGGAAGCATTAATAGGAAATTGCCCGGCAGAGAAGGAGATAGTAAAGTGAATAGTCTGAACAAAGTGGGTGGGAATAGCAGAGCAGAAAGCCTGAGGTGGGAACCTGGAGGAAGAGGAAACTGCAAAGGCTGGTTGTTCCGCTACTGAATAAGGCTTTGAATGCCATGCAAACACTTTTAAAAGATATTATATTTTTTTGTTTGATTTTTATTTTCCCATAGATAACAAACTGTTTTAATTGGGGGGGGGATCATATGGTCAGAGTTATTATTTAGAGGATTCCAGGTTGTAAATTGGAGACTGCGCAAGAGAGAAAAAGGTTGGAGCAGAGAGGAAGAAATGCAAGGAAGAAATACAGAGCAGGAAAAAAGGAATTGAAGGCCTCCTTGGTGGTGCACTGAGTTAAAGCACAGTTACCCACATGCCACTGCAGCATGAGTTCTATCCCTGGCCAGGGAGGTGACCCACATGGCATGGCAGACCCCTCCTGTCCTGCCCATTGCTCCCCTCAACAGTGTATTTCAGCTGCTCCTCCTGTTCTGCTCCCCATTCTGTCTCTGGTGAATCCTCTCACCCTCTGCACCTCTGACCTACACCACAGTTCTTCTATGCATAAATTAATAAATCTTTAAAAAAAGGAAGAATTGAGCTAATGTCATAAGAATGATAACAAAGGGCATTACTCTATAAAACCATTTACCCTGGTTATGAATTTTCCAAATATACACAAAAGCTAAAAGAAAATTATCATTTCAAGGTAGGCACACACAAAGAATTTAAACAATTGGCTCTGTCCTTAAGGAACAGAACATAATACACAAGCACAGTTAACTATGTTTCAATCAGAGTTTCAAATATTGCCATGTGTCAGGTACTGGCAAAGAATGGCTGTTTTGAATGTTTTTGGTTCCCCTGACTTTGTCCACAGTCTCCTGATCAAAATGCCCTTTCCTCCCTTATTTGGGGGTGTCCATCTACTATCACTTTAAGATTCAGCCGAAGATCATCAGCTTGGGTAGCTTTCATGATCTCTTTCTTCTTTCCCAACAAATACATCATCCTTTGTGCCACGCACGTCCTTCAAGCCTGCCCTTACTACCCTTACTATTTATATGCTTGGAATACAGTTCTTGTTATATTTGCTCTTTATTCCCCTCTAGGAGACTGGGAAGGCAGGAAAGCATTTAATTTCTCTTACTATTGCAGTACAACTATTTCGTAGAAAGATTATGATTTATGTATAATTTAGAATCACTATCTGTTCTATTATTCAATCAGAAAATGTGAATTTTCTGAGCCACCAGGATATTGGTTTTATTTTTTAAGATTTATTTATTTATGCAAACAGAACTGGGTACAAGCCAGAGTTGCAGGGGTGCAATGATTGCATATACTCTAGAGGCTTCACCAGAGAGAGAGCAAGGAGCTGTGTCTTAACCCATTGTGCCACCAGGGAGGGCCCGGCTATAGTTTTTACTCTGTAGCTATAAGTATGATGATACTTTAGAGGATGTATTTCCTTTTAAAATATTGGGAATATTAAAATGAATCTGCTAAGTGAGACTTAACAAAAAGAAGTAGAGTTTTCTCCAATCTCCAATTTTTTTTCTTGAGGTCATACCTGGAGCCCACCTCTTTAAGTTCTACTAACCCATTAGCAGCTTTCTGTACCCACTGAGGATACTAAGACAAAATTAGAGAAAATTAGAATTACCGATTCATCTCTTCCTTGTTAGGGTCCCCTTCTGAATCAGAAGAAGAAACTCCTGGAAAAATAAGAAGACATGAAATTTTTAAGATGATAATTTCTTAAACAGATTCCTAGACATCAGAAGACCCATAGACTTTTAGACCTCAGTGATTCCATATACTAATGCCAATTCTGACAGATGAAGACATGGATTTTCCATAGTTGAAGGACTTGTTCAAGGCCACTCAGCCAATTAATGACAGAGTTACAATTAAAGGCCCAAATTCCAAGTATTCTTGTCTGTAGAATACCTCCTGGTGTCTTTGGACCAACAGTCTCTATAGACATGCTGTGTACTCATAAATCCTCTTGTCTTGGCTTACACAGGTTATATGAAAGAAGGGGTCAGAGTGAATTCCAAAAATTGTGGGTGTAGGCGGATGCTTCCGTCCAGTCCTAACATTACCAAGTTACTCTTCATTTAGGAATGGAGGTGTTTAAAGCTATAGTGCCACACAGGAAAAAATTAGTAACCCAATCTCAGCACTGTTAGTAGAGCTTTGATCCTGGATTTATTCAGCATGAATTACAGGAAGATATAATAGAGCTAAATCTGGAGGTATTTATTATATGGTAAAAATTTGAGAATAAAAACATAACACACTTCTAGTCAAGTATTTATTCTATAAATGTTTATTAAACATCTACTAAGTACTTGGTACTATGTGAAGTATAAAGATATAAAGAAGAATGGGATAGTAGTCCAATGACAATCTTGTTGGTAAAGGGACATTTATCATAACAGCATATTTTAGTGTTAAAACCAGGACCTATATAAGGTGATATAGATGATAAAAGTGTAAAGGAATGATCCCCAGAATAAACTCAGAGGATGAGAAAATAGGAACATAAGTTTAGGTATAAATTGATATATAAAGAACATACATTTATTCCTTCCCTAAAATTTGTCAGGTAATTTTGGTTTTAATGCAAATACATTTCCTAGACTCCCAAATGCTTGTCCTTGTGTCTCCCAAGACTGCAGCATATTCTCATCTAGGAGTCAAAGTGGTGACCCTATGAGCAGCTAAGTCAGGTGATGTTATGTCTCTACTCAGAATCCCCGAGAAAAAAGCCCAGTGCTCATAATGACTTAAAATACATGTTCTTCTCACCTCTCTCTCCTCACTTTCACCCCATCTTGAACTTCTTGAACAACATCTGCTAGTTTTCTTATCACCTTCACTTTGATCACACTGGTTCGTCTTCAGACCTCAGGACTGGCCCACTTCCACCTGAAGGTCACTCTGCACTTGCTCTCTTTGATTTCCGTGTTTTCCCTTTGAATAGCTTGCGGTTCATTCCCTCAATTTCTTCAGGTTTTCACTCAAATATCATCTAGTTAATGAGGTCTTTTTCAGACACTGTATCTTTACAGCCTAAACTTGTCTTTCTCACACACACACACTTTCTATTTCTATCTACGTTCTTATTTATAATATACACCTATCACAGTATATATTTTACTTACTGTATTAATTTTCTATCTGTCCCATTATGTTCATCTTTCCATGAGCATAAGGATTTCTTGTCTGTTTGGTTCACTGTTACATCCATACTGCCTAGGAGAGTGTGTAGCAGGGTAGGTCCTTGATAAGTTTATCGTAAGTATATGTCTTACTGGTAAGTACCATGCTTCAAGGGTGTTTCACTTTACCTTCTATATAAATCTCAGCAGAAGTTGAATCTGTCCCGTAGATGTTAGAAGCAAAGCAGGAATAGCGTCCTGTATCTTCTTCAAAGGCTTCAGCAATGGTCAGTGAGTGTAGATTTCCTGCCTGAACGATGTGAATGTCTGGGGAATTTTCAAGCTCCTTGCCTTCACAGTACCACCTGAAAGTAGAGAATATTGGATGTGGCCAAAAGTGAGGATTAATGGCATATATGACTTCAGATATTTCATGGCAAGAAAACTGTGATGAACTCAGGACATTAAACTACACATTGTTCAGTGGGTATGATTTGATTGCAGCAAGCAGAAGCTGGCAGTATTCAAATCATACTGAGGCTTTACTTAAGAACTAGAAAGTGTCTCCTATTAAGAATGATACAATGAGAGAAGACAGATGAGAAGCCAAATATAGCCAAACCATAAAGAGCATCATCCTTGATACAGAACATGACTTTTCCTAAAAGGACTTAGTGCTTCCTGTAAGATGCATTTGAAGTGTTACTTTTGCTTATCTGGAGATAATCTAAGGAGTATTAAAAGTTTGTGAAGTTGAGTGTGCTCACTGCTATTATGAAACTGCATCTGACGTAGCTAACTGAAAATTAATTTGCTCAGTTACTGAGTCATCATAATAAAGAGAATGGGTCACATTCTCCCAGGAATGTTTCAACCCTCATAAGTAACCTAAGTACAGCTTTACCTCAATTTACAATGGGATTAAGTCCTGATGGGACTATAACCCCAGGGTAAATAAAAAATACTATAAAGCAAAATTATTTTAATAAAACTAACCTATCTAACATTCTTGCATAGCATAGTTTAGTTCTCTGAAGTTTTACATTGACCTATACTTGGCCAAAATCTAACACAGAGCCAATTTTATAACAAAGTGTTGAATTCCTCATGTAATTTACTGACTACTGTACTGAGGGTGAAAAACAGAATGGTGGGTGTGTTCTAGCCATTAATGTACACAGCTTCAAGTGTACTGGGCCTGAAGAATGTCTGGAGCGTCAAGCTAAAATTAATTGCTGGATGATGAAACTCCTGCAGCAACAGAGTCATCAGTTTCTCTCTCCTGAAGAGCCTCTAGGATATCTGATGGAGGGTTGTTTACTCTTGCAATCGTGTGGCTGCCTGGGAGCTCTGGTTCACTGTTGCTGCCAAATTTCAAGGGAATATTATATAACACATTGCTTTCCTAGGGAAAAGATCAAAATTCAAAATTCTAAGTTGGTTTCTGCTGAATGCATACAGCTTTCTCAGTATGGTAAAGCTGAAAAATCCTAAATTCAATTATCATAAGTCAGGGATCATTAGTATGGTTCTATAATTTATAGTCTTTCGTTTTAATTCTTTTTTTTTGCATTTTTTTCTTAATGATTTTTACATCATTCTTCATTTTGTGCATTTTTTCATCTCAGTTGTAATCCTCATGAGCTTCCTACCACCAATTCACCCAGTACCATCACCATAGTCCTGTGCACTCTTCCCCCTCCAGTCTTTCATTTTAAATCTATACATTTAAAGTTAGAAATTTATTAAGGTATAGATTTTTTTCTTTTGTTTCGAAGTTTGCACAAACAATACATAAAAATACATAAAGTAATAATACATAAGGTGTAAAGGCAAATGCCTAAAAGTTTGTCCACTCTAAATACAGCTTGGTAGGAGTGTAAAATGGAATAACCCCAGTGAAAGTCATATGTCAATATCTGCCAAAATTACACATATATTTATCTTTTGACCCAATAATCCCTTTTGTGGATAAACTTACATACATAAATTATACAGCTTATCATTTAAATAGCAAAAGGTTAGAAACAATGCAAGTGTCCATTATAGGATGAAATAAATGATGGTACAGCCACACACTGGAACACAGCCAGATCTAAAAAGAGAAGGAGGAAGATAACTATATGGCTAGAACTCCAAGATATACGGTGACATTTTTAATAATAATATACAGAATAGTGCATGTACACTGTTAGGTTTTGTGTAAAAAAAAAAAAAAAGGGAATATTACGGGTTGAATTATCCCTCCCAAAAGGTAAGTTGAAGCACAAAACTCCAATACTTGCGCATATATTTTTGGGATAGGATCTTTGTAGATGCAGTCGTTTCAATGACGTTACCAAGGTGGGCTCTAATCTAATATGGGGTTCTTTAAGAAAAGCCCCACATGAAGAGAGACTGATACAAAGAATGACCCATGATGACAGAGACAGTGATTGCAGAGATGTGGCTGCAAAGCAAGGAAGACCAAGGATTGATAGTCACCCCCAGAAACTTCCTCTGAAGGAAATACCCTACCCTGAATCTCAGATGGGAGGTGGCCCTGCTGACACTGATTCTGGATTTCTAGTGTCCTAAACTGATGCAGTTGATTGAAAAGCCAAGAGAGCTGAAAAATACGGAAAGGAGATGCCCTTTTGGGAGTGTTCATGAGCAAGTCTGTGCAATAGAAACACAGAAAGTTTTGGGGCTGCAGAAACATGCTAAGAATGGGGAGAAAAGTGTGAAGCTGAACAGAGGGAGACTGATTTCAAGTTTTGAAAATGAGTATTAGATTCCACAGCAGATCTCACCCTGTTTTCTGCTCAGCTAAGAGATGTCCCAGGAGGAAGGCTGATGGCGGCTTTGTGAAAAGCTGCTTCATATTGGAGCACTGGAAGTAAGGGCATTTGGAAGAATTTCTCTAAGGGATAACAAATGGGCCTGAGAACTTAACTATGTGGAACAGATTATTTAGGAGTTGTCTTACAAATGTGTCAGAGAATTGTGGGAAGTCTCTTTTTAATAGGCCCACAGAACTAAGCATGTAAAAAAAAAGAGAGGCAGTAATCAACTCCTTGTCAAAATAAAACTTATATAAGAAAGAAAAATTCAGGCGCTCCTTGGTGGTGCAATGGGTTAAAGTGTAGCACTATGAAGCTGTCCATAGCCATTGAAGCATGAACTGGATCCCCAGCCAGCGAGGTGACCCATATGGCATGGCAGACCTCTCCTGTCTCACCCACTGCTCTAGTGTATTTCAGTAGATCTTCCTGTTCTGCTCCCCAGTTTGTCTCTGGTGGATCCTCTTACTGCCCCCCTCTTACTGGCCTATACCCCAATTCTTGTGTGCATAAATTAATAAATCTTTAGAAAGAAAAATTCATTTTTACCCTACTGGGTTTGGCAGGGAATAATATGTCATAGTAACAAGAAGGTAACATTAAGTGTCTTTTTAAACAATGTGATATGATTATACGGAAGTGATCAGGAAGAGACAACAGAGGTACTAGTTTGATGAAGGGGTACTAAGCCCCCATCTTCTGGAATAGGAAGTCAATAGAAATTAGCTGGCATCATCATACCAGGTAATAGTAGGTGTAAGTTTATCATAGTGGTCCTCGAAGTGTAGTTCAATTTCCATGAAAACTAAATAATTTCATATAATAGTAATAGTACTTGCCTTTTCACTGTGTTGACATTTACATCAATGTTGCAAAAGCCACAGGAGGTAATATTGCTGGTTCTGTAGTGGCACAAATTATGGCCCTGCCACAAAACTAACTGGTGGTCATTGTGTTCATCATCACATTTGCTGTTAAAATTAAGAAGTGTGTGTGTGTGTGTGTGTGTGTGTAAAGAATTACTTTTATTAAATCTCTACTTTCAGCTTCTATCTTTTTTGTTGTTGTTGTTCAAAAGATTTATTTATTTATGGATATAGAGATTTATTTATTTATGGATTTATTTATTTATGGATATAGATACAGATGTGCATGGGCAGTGAGAGGATTCACCAGAGACAGAGTGGGGAGCAGAAAAGTTAGACTGATGAAGTACACTGCTGAGGGGAGCAGCGGGCAGGTCAGCAGAGGTCTGCGTCGTCATGTGGTCACCTCCGGGGCAGGCGGGAATCGAACTTATGCTGAAGTGGCTTTAGCTTTTTAGTACTTGCTTTACCTGATGCGCCACTAGGCAGGGCCCTCAGCTTCTATCGTTTTAATGTTCTGGGCATGAAATGGGAAGTAGCAAAAAGTATTTCTGCTGGATATGGAAGAACATTAGTGTGATTGTTAGGTGACATGAAATACTATTTTATTTAACTTGAAAGAATGACTGAAAATTATGGCTTTTCAGACTTGGGTGTTTAGCAAACATGTTCTCAAAAATGAAGAAAGTGTGTCATTTCAAGTAAAAAATAGCCAATAGCATTTGTGGCCAATGATAAAATTTGAGCCTTCAAGGAAAGATTAGAGCTTTTGAAAGCTTATATTTCTCTCAGTGAGTTCAGGATTTCCCAGTACTTAAAAACTTTTTGATGAAATTAAGGATGACTTATTTTTCAAATGACCAGTGTTAACTTTCATGTTACCTATCCAAAGTTCAAGCCAGCCCAATGAGCTTTAGTATAACAGAGTATAAAAGTTCACTGATAAGGTTTCAGATTCACTTGCAATTAAACTTTAAGAAATTACGTCTAGTTGAATTTTAATGTTGTTATTAAACAAAAATAGCCACATTCCCTGAAAATGCTGTTAAAATAGCCTTCCTCTTTCGAAGTACGTATCTGTTAAACCAAAAGTTTAAAATTTTTTTCAACCCAAAGAGTATTTAACAACAAACTAAATTAAGATGCAAATATGGGAATCAAACTATCATCTATAAAGACAGATATTGAAGAGATTTGCAAATAAAGCAAAACAATGCCACTCTTTTCACTAAATTTGTGTTTGGAAAATATTTATTTTTACATAATAATTTCATGTTAATTCTTCCCATTTAAAACAAATAAATAACTATTTAAAACACTTCTCAATATTAACTTCTAGTATGATAATTGTAGCTGGGATTCAATAATTTTTTTTAACGATTGATTTATTTATGCATACAAGAAGTGGAGTACAGGCCAGAGGTGTGGTGGGGTGAGAGGATTCACCAGAGACAGAGTGGGGAACAGAAGAGGCAGACTGACTGAAATACACTGCTGAGGGGAGCAGTGGGTGAGACAGGAGAGGTCTGCTGTGCCATGTGGGTCACCTCTCTGGTGGGGGATTAAACTTGCCCTGCAGTGGCTGTAGACAGCTTCATAGTGCTGCGCTTTAACCCATTTCGCTACCAGGGAGAGCCATGGGATTCAATAATTTTTTAAGGCAGTAAAGTGGTCTGT